CAGAATCCTTGAAGGGTATCCGTGTACAGCCGTTATGGTTTAAGGCACAACCCAGGCAGAGGCTTTTTATAGTTCTTCTCTTCGGTCAGAAGTATAGAACCCTAGGGGTCAATCACAAATGTGGCGTTCACGTGCACCGACAAGAACGCTTTGGGCTTGCAAAGTAAGCTGCTCGAGCTGCAGCGAACGAGCTCTCTTATCAGGCCGTTGTCTGGTGCTCTCTCATCTGATGCGCTCTCTCGCCCCATACTCTCCTCTTCGCGCTTAGTCTCTCGTTCCTTTAGCACAGCCAATTAGGAAGGTGAGTGAGCCCTCAACCTGAGCGTTTTCGACGGATTCTTTTCCTTTTTTCTTCACTGCCGGCCCACTTGGCACCGATACATTCACATTCGTGTGCAAGAGCCACACCAGTGCGATCCTGGGGCATGCCTTTAAACACGACCCGGGCTTCAACCAAAGCATTAATCTAGATGCCCGCCCCAATAAGTAAAGCATTTCATTTATTCCGCACACTGTCGGCGGTCACCAAATCGTCTTTTCGACCGCTAACTTCTCCTATCTTAACAAGATGGTCGGGTTTCATGCAAGCATGATACACTGTTGAGTGTTTTTATTGCAATATCGTCGCCACCAGAAGTTATTTCTACCGCTAGACCTTTTCACCATCCGAACCATGATAGTTGCTTACGCCATTGGCTCACAGTAAGCAGTTGAAGCAGTTGTGTTAGCTATCCTCCTAAAGCTTATCCGGCCGCTGGAAAGTGTCAATTTCCGAAAACGATGAGTGTTTATGAGTAATGAGGAAATACGGAAAACGGGAACTACGGGAAGACTGCTCTATCTCCAGCAGCATAGGAACCTTTCGTTAATCACATCAGTCTAAAGCAATAAAAGCATGTATGCTGCCGCAATACAAGCGTTCGGCTGTGCTCAGTTCCACAAAAGCCTACTTTGATATGCGCGCGGTAGTGAGCGGAGCCAAACTGGTGAAGCCATACGCCATCACCGTCTAGCTCGAGGAGATCTACAGCAGTTGCTCCAGCCTAGACCAGGTACTGGTTTCTGAGACGGAGAGTAAAGAACCCCAAACTAGCAGCATATAATTATTTTTCCTCGCCAAGGGAGAATACGGGAAGTGGAAACACGTACAGCTCCGTTCGTTGGAGTTGGCGCAAAGTCCGATACATATCTGGTTATGGCCGTAAGCTGAGTCGCACGTGATCGTCGACTGTGGAACTTCAGTCATCACTGCAATTATGCGGAGACCACTTCGTATTTAGACTCACTTGCTTGTGGGAAGCCCTTTAAATTGCGCAAAGCTCACTTCTGACCTTTCCCTCGGACTATTATTGATTATTTGAATCAAAAACTTGACAAAAAATACGTCTCCAAACTGCGGAACAAGCAAAGCAATTCAGCGAAACAAAAATAGAAAATTTAGAAGCCGTTTGAGAAGTGCAAAAACTATAAAATGAATAAAGTTGAATAGCTATAAAGCACAAAACAGAAAACTCAGAAAACTTCTAGCATGCTAAGTTGAAATATTTTTCTTTGCGATAGCATAATACAATTCAGTAGTTCTTAAAATTGCGTGGAGACCTGAACATATGCATTTACGACTTCATGTATTATATTTTGGTGGACTTAATGCTCCTTTTGGATTGACTTCAAAGGAAAAATTAACTATTAGCCGAAAGAACAACCCATTTCAAATTAAGTTAGAGATGGTGAGTGATGCACGAAAGAAGAAAAAACTGATGAAAACGGCCCAGAACCCGAGAAATGGGACCCCTTCCTTGCCCGTTGATTTGCGCATTGATGCGACTCTCATCGCTGTGCCCTCTTCAACACTACGCTCTCTCTGCTATCTAATCACTCGCCACGTATAGACCTGCGGCGAGTGATTAGATGGTCGGTGGGCGTACACCGCCAACCGCGCCAAGATTGAGCCATGCTGGATCGCCGAGGTCAAATCTTTCGCTGCCAATTGCGCGTTGGTCAGCACCCTCAGGAGGTCCGCCTGTCTCCCAACTGGGCATTTCCCCTTCCTCGATCTTCGTTCTTATCGTGAATTCGTCCTTTAAATATATTTGCACTACCGTACTGACTCAGGGAAGAGCGAGTATTAGGAAAACCAGTCGGCAAGGAGAAAAAGCCCGAAAACGCTTAACAAGCAGGGTTTTGATCGTTGTACATTTGATACATTTGCTGAAGAATCGAAGTTACATTTCAGGGTTGTAAGTGCATTCGAGAAAGCAAAAATGTGGTATTTACACTACGGCACGACGCGGGGTTATGCTTGTAGCCACACCACACAGAAAACGCTCACCAACGACCAAGATTGTCATATTTCTACACAGAGGTAATTGCAGTTTATGACAGTGGAGAGGCTCCGTCGCTAACATCTCAACATCATCGTCTCCCACATTTTGACGAAACTCTTTGAAATTGGAAAATTAAAATTGGAAAAGTTGAAAATGTAAGAAGGATTACTAATTTTGCTTGAAAGTGATAAATTTCCATTTGAACTCGCGAGAAGGGAAGTTGAGCGCAGAGTCAACACGTTTAGATATTTAGCATTTCAAAATGAATCTACACTACAGATCCAAAAATTCAGAGGAAATACAATCAATTTCACAACGTACTGGTTGAAGTCAAGTACGTGGGTGGCAAGGATCAGGACATTTCTTTCTATAGAATGGTTGGTCAGGTTGCACAGGTGGGATATTATACGCGCCACATGCTAACATTGCTTCTCGGGCGCCACACACTAACAATTACTTCTCGGGACAAAACTGAAATGCAAGGCGCAATCCAAGATGAAGCTGTTTCAAAAGTTGGGAGCCCTTTCTTGTAGGTGTCAACTTAATGAAACGGTATCTTCTGATTTGGAAAACTCCACCTTATACCAAGTTTCAATTCAAAAAACAACGCGATGTCGCGTTTTTCGCCTTTAAGTTTTGTGGCGAGTACAAAACGGTGCAGTGCCACTTGCACCCATTTGTCACCGTAAAAAATGGTAAGTACGTTGTATAATTACATTATAATGGTACGTTTCCCAGATATTAATGTGCCAACCTGTGTGAAGCTGCAAGGCGTCGACAAGATTAATGGGCTCCTGCAGTACTAGGCAAAACGTTTGAAATAGATGGATTAGTGAGAAGACCTCTTTTCTTCGATCACTAGCGCATATCTCAAAAATAAGTCCGATTACACGAAAAACATGTTCGCAGGGTTTATGCGATTCAGTTCAAATGTACCGTTTTGTTAGGCTTATATACCATGGCCAGCTGCAAAATCTCGTCATATTCCCTCGGCATCTCACTAGCACTCCTGAAAGTGAGCAACTTTATACGGAATTACTGTTACAGGTCACACTGGAGAACGGTACAATCACAATGTTGTGTTTATTTTCACCATCACCAGTTTTGCTCCGTATTCTATTGCACGCTATACATGGTAGGCTTCAGCAAAGTTAGAGAAGCCTGTAGAACTTTGGGTCACTCAGCTAGCATATCCAGTAGTTGTGCTCCGGTGAGATTAGCAGTCTAATGCTGCACGGACTTCCCAGCTTCTGGTAGCCTATGATTGATGAGCGCGATAGCCTGCGATCTAAATATAATAATTTCGCCCACTATGATGGTCGAACTGAGTCAAATCAGCGGTCGAATGGTCCCTCAATGTGTTGTATTGGAAAGGAGCAAA